GATTATTGCTCAGCAGTCGAAGAAGAGCAGTCAAGTTTTACTCCATGCTGGTGAGGAGGATGTAAGCCTTGCTGCCTTTTACTCCATGGAAACAGCTTTCAATCACCCTGAAGGCTGAAGCATTGGTGGTGGGAGAGGGAAGACATGAATGCCATGGAAACCCCTCTGCTTCGGTGAGGAAGTGCAGTGGTGTTTCATTTGATTTTACTCATAGGTGCTTGCAGTGGGTTATCGCATAGCAGCATTGTTCCCATTGTTCCAGTTTTGGGAGAAGAATCTGTCCCTGAAAACACTCACTTTTGCCTCCTCTTCCCACCCCCCACCACCTTGATGCAAAGTGACATACAAACTGAACCCTGCCATCTAGGACCAGGGCTAAGCCACAGTTAACAGCGGTCTAGTGTTGGACGTGTTTTGCGGCCAACATCCCCCCCCATGTTAAAAGTAGTGTATGCCCATTAGCAAAGGCTGGTTTTGTTTGCTGTAACTACCGATAATACTGAATCTTCTTTTTTTTAGGAACTGTAGTCCTCAAAAAGACAGGTTTTTTCATGTCTACTATACATATATGCTGCAGGTTTGCTGACATGGAACCAGGAAGGATGGCACACTTTGTTTCCTGTTAGCTCTAATCAGCCTGGGGAGCTTACACCACCACTTGTTTCAGCTTTGCTCAGAGAGTGTGGCAATGACGTCTTTCTGGGACGGTGACACTCATGGTGCACAATACCAGTGCAGTTTAAGATGTAAAGGTGTGAAGTGAGGCCCATGGTAGCTTGAAGGATTGCATGGGGCTCTATCAGCCAGACCCTATCTGAGCGCAAACAAAAAAATGTTGTTGACAGGCAACTTTCATAAATTGCTTTGTTGAGTGTCGACTTCGCTTCATAGCACATTGTCACGTGCCAGTGCTGACACCTGTGGCATAACTTGCTGGCGCAGTATGGCGTGCTTGTCATACTGGTATCTTTTTCTGCATTTTTTTTTTTCCTAGTAAATTCCTGATGGTCCAAACTGGAACCATATTATCAGGTTTTGCCCTTGATGCATAGGCGAGAGAAGCTGTGTTGCACAGCATGTACTGCCACAACAGTGCCGACGTCACAATTAAAAACCAAACTAGGGTGAAACTAAATGAATGCTTTAAATGTACCCATATTTCTGTGATGTGAAGTGTTTTCTGCTACTGGACTTCTAACGTCCAAGTTCTTCTGTAGCAGCATCTGTTATTCAGAGGGCAAAGGTTTGCTGCAGACTTAGCAGAGTTAACAGTTACTATGGGCTAGGTGAGATGAAAACATCCTTCTTTTTTATCGTTTACTTTTCTTGGCCATTTTCTGTGCTAGGGGTTTGCCCAATGCCATGCCAACATAGCTAGGAAGGGAATTTGTCCTGCTAGTAATACATGTAGGCTAGACAACAGTTATAGCCACTGTAATGTTAAACTGAGTCACAAAGCTCCTTAAATGGTTGTGGCATGTGTGGCTAAAGAAAGAAACAAAAGAAACATCACTCATCAGGACTTTGACACTGAGCAATAACAGAGAGAAGCAATGAAGCGACTGTAAGAACCTCAAAGCAGGAAAAATCTCTGTGGACTCCACTTTTCCCTGCAGATTGGGAAGTGGCAAATGGATAATCGACAAAACCCACAGCACCTCCTTGAGATATAGCTTGGGAGAAAGCTTGCAAGGCACTTGACTTTAAAAAAAAAAAAATGCATGAAGCCCTACGTGGTACCTGCAAGCCGTGGGTCTCCCTGGGCTATCCCAGGCACCTGGAGGGTGTTGGGGCACCCAGAGCCGAGCAGCTCCCAGTCAGGAGCTGGTGCAGGTGGACACTGTGGAGCTGGGCTGTGCAGCCTCACTGGTTTTTGGGCTATCCTGATGTCAGGAGTCCCTGCATTACACCATGAGCTGATTTTTGCAGCTTCCTTAGAGGTCAAGAAGCACACAGTATTTCCTAAGGTGTGTGGGAGGGTTTTATCATGGTTTATGCCACCATATGTGGCTCACGGTTTGCCAGGGCTAAGCAGGCAGCAAGGAAAGCCAGCACGCACTTACAACACATGGCAGAAGACCTGCTCCAAGGTAGCACGGATCCTGAGTGTGAGCAGGCTTAATTAGCTCTTGTTATGGGCCAGCTCAGTGAGTGTCACATGAAGGTGATTAGCTTAAACATAATGGACCGAAGGAGCAGATTATTTTGACATGTAGGCCTGAATGTGGCATTTCCAGGGACTCTTGCAATGATTTGGCCAAAGAAAATTATCAAGGTAAAAGCCCAGTGTGGGAAGTGAGAAGTGAGATGCACAACGGAAAAATAAGCACATGGCAGGACTGGATCTGCTGTTGCCCATGGATTTCTGGGGCCTTAGGCACACAAGGTCACAGCAATTTTTGGCCTCTCATGCTAGATCTGCTTTAGATGACATCAGTGACCTTGGCAAGTTGCCCATGGCTGGGGCCAGAAGAGGCGTGTGGTACCAAGGTGTGCCATGGATGCTCTCTCCTGCGGTAGGTGCTGGGCTTTCCCTCCAGGAGGGCAGCTGAGAAAGGCTGTGGCTCAGTGCCTAAACCATGGCCTTGGTGTTTGGTGGCTTGGTTAGGTCAGAGACCTGCTAGCTCAACATGTTGGTCTTGAGGCTCTTATTTCTCTGAATGTACATCTCTCCAGTCAGTAAGCAGC